ATAACCCCTACAAGTTTGATCCCATACTTCTGAAACACCCTGTATAACACCATGCATATTATTCAGTTTTTGGATTCTACGCGAGATTTTGGATACATTTCCTGTGTATACCTATGCCTATATAAGTTAAGATAATAATAATAAAAATAAATGTCTTTATTAATACTCATACATCAAGGCCAAGTTTAGCCAAAGTGCTAGTATGTATAGTGTGAGGCCTGAGTACCCGCTCCAGACGAGCGTGCAGCGGCGCGGGGCGTGGAGCGTGCTTGTCTATCTCTGTTTATTGTATCTAGATGTCCTTCGTTGCAGCCGTCAGAGCGTTGTAGGGAGCGTTTACGTTTGCGTCTGGTGGAGCGTCGAGTGGCGTCCAGCGTTCATTTCAATTCAGTTTGTGTTTCAGAGGGTCATTGAATCTGATATATTGAAGTTAGTAGCTGTTAATTTTAATCGAGCATCTATTATTCCAATATGTAGTCGAATGTTGACACTGGCATTCTTGTATACTCGTAGAATTTGTTTTCGTCTGATCGTACTGTTTCATACGATGTAGAAAATTCTAACGATGTTTTTCTTTGCTTAACAATATGACTTGGGCCTTACTTGCACAACAAGTCAAACTTAAAAACTGAATTTTCATCTAAATACATATAAAAAATTTCATATGAAGCCATGGTGATCAAAATACGTGTATCACAACTGAATGCTCACTGTTCACTAAGACCAGACAAAGAACGCTCCTAGATACTAAACCTCCACGCTGAACGCACCGCAGAACGCATTTTTCACTCAGGACGTACATTTACACTTATCCTCAAACTACCCCTGATTGGGAGAAATGACGAGGAATACCTTGGAAACTACAAAAATTCACATAGAAGTGAAAAAGACGCAGGGTTCTAAAGCAGCACCCCTCCAAATATCTTTATCATAATATTCTGTATAATTTGAAAAACAGAACTCTGGGGCGCCATTAGAAAAAACTACCCTTGGTTGGGAAGAAGCATATTTGAGGGAGTGCTGCTCTAGAATTCTTCGTTTTTTTTACTTTTGTGTGAATTTTTGTAGTTTCCAAGGTATTTCTCGTCATTTTTCCCAACCAACGGTAGTTCTTTCTAACGGCATCCCCGAGTTCTGCTTTTAAAAATCTACTTAGCATTATGCTAGATATATCTAAAAGGGGTGCTGTGCAAGAACTGTGCTTTTTTCACTTTTGTGGGAATTTTTAGACATTTGAAGGTATTTTTCGACACTTTTGCAGCCAAGGGTAGTTTTTTTCTAATGGCACCCTCGAGTTCTGCTTTTGAAATTGTGCAGAATATTACGCTGAAGATATATGAGGGGGTGCTGCGTTAGAACTTTGCGGTTTTTTTTCACTTTTATGTGAATTTTTGTTGTTTCCAATATATTTCTCGTCGTTTTTCCCAACCAAGGGTAGTTTTTTCTAATTTCAACCCCGAGTTCTGCTTTTAAAATTGTACGTAGTAGCATTATGCTGGAGATATCCAAAGGTGGCTGCAAATGATTATGAGTGGTTGAATTTTTTACTTTGCCTAAAGGATGAAAACAGCTTCCTTCCAAGCCTCAGGAAAAGTCCCAGTCTCAAAGCATATATTAACAATATGTGTTAAATACAATAAAATTTCAGGTAGGCAGTAACCTAGCAAGTTCAAGTTCAGTTCATCACACCCTGTAGCAGGTGACTTGATAGAAGTAACTATGACCAAAATTTCATCAGGGATCTTCATTCTAAATGTAAATGGAGTTACATCTTGCCTGTAAAAGCTGTTCTCATAACACTCTACTGTACTGTCAACCAAACAGGAATTGATATTAGGATTTTGGTAATTTAAAATGAAGTGGTTATTGACTTTGTTAGGGTCTAATATATCATAGGATATTTCAATGTGTTTCTGAGGACAAATCTTCATTATTCTCAGGTGAGCCCAAGCTTTTCTAGAAATCAGACTGCCAAAGACTGCTTTTTTCTCACGCCGGATTGAAGCAATTGAATAATTCCTTAACTCTTTATACGCTGTCCAATTTTCATCTGATCGATTGTGTTGGAACTTAATTAAAGCCTCACCTCTCATCTTAAGAATGACCTCAATTGCAAACGTTAACCATGGAGCAGCTTTTTTGATGGCACGAGCTGTCCGAATAGGAGCGTGAAAGTTAAAAAATCCATATAGCAGCCCAGAAATGATTAGAATTTCATATCAGTAATATACAGCATTACTTCTAAGCCAACGGCAGCCAAATCCTGCTTAAACTTAATGACGTCAATGTTCTTAGAATCCCAATAGCTTATGAGTTTTTCTTGGGATGAAACGGTTTTTACATCTAACTCACAGAATATTAGTTTTTGGTCAGATATCAGATCTGCAATTAAGGTACCAGAGTTAAGAACACTTTCAATATTATTTACAAATACGACATCTATTAAAGTAGAATTAAACGAGAAATACGAGTAGGCTCATCGATGACCTGCCTGAAACCTTAAAAATCAAGAAAACTGCTGAGTGCATTAGTGGTACCCAACATATCAATATTTATGCCTCCAAGAAGAATAATATTATCATATTGAGGCATAAAGAAAGAAACAAGGTTATCTATGTATGTGGTTTACACAATCATTGATAGAACAGTGGCAGGCTTATGGAATTGATTCTACATTTTTACAACACACTAATTCCAGCGCACTGTTACCCAAAAAATCAATATTGACTGAACTACCTGTAAATCTCAGATTAACCCTTGCGTATATGCCAACCCCACTACCTCTGCCAATTCTATCTTTGCGAAAGAAATTATAATCGTGCATATTGATAAGACTATCTGGTATATTGTCTGAAAGCCAAGTTTCAGAGACAGCTATAATATCGAATTGATCTTTTACCAGCAAAGAAAACTCATTGAAAGAAGGTGTAACTGATCGAACATTGAGATGGAAAATTTTTAAAACATCATTTTTAATACTACTCATAGTCTATGCGCTGCTTCAAATTGTCAACATAACCTTGATAAACAGTTAATGCATTGTAGCGCCTCCGACTTGCACTTCAGTTTGTGTTTTCTGCAGCATCTAGGACAAGTAAGCTCTGATTTGCAAGTAGCTCCTGTACGGCCGAATGAACAACACTTGTAACAAGTCATCAAACGCAAATGGTCAGAAATGAAACACTTTTCCAACCAATGATCAACGACCCTATCTGTAACATGGTCTTTCTTAAATCAGTTGTCACTTCAATGACAACACTAGTTCCGCTTTTCAGTGTAAGTTTAGTGATACATTTAATCTGAGATTTTTGCGTATCATTTAAATTATTTAGGGTAGCTATATTCGTGATAATATCTGGCACATTCTAAATGAGTTTCGACAGTTGGAATTGATTTGGATGGCGCCTTGTGATGATATACTTGATTCGCTATGATAATTTTGACATCTGATTATATTGATCTTCTATATTCAAATTATCATGGCAGTGTCAAAATTATCATTGCTCATCAAGTATATCGTCAGAAGGCTCCATCGAAATCAATTTCAACGGTCGAAACTCATTTAGAATCAAGCTCCAGGTTGATGTACATTGACCTGGCATTACCACATGCTTGAGATTTTGCAGGTTCACGTTCTTCAGCAGCGATTTTTGCAACAGTGTATTCGAGATTAGGCAAAAGTTTTTCAGTTGAATCCAATTTTCGATTGTCGCTTTCCAACTCTTTTCTCAATTATTTTATATCAGTTTTTGTCTCATTACTGACTGGCTGTCAATGTTTAACCAGCTGTCTCTCGCAGACACGCATGACGAATGAAATTTCAACTTGCAAAGGCCACACTTAAATGACTCTTAGCTTCTAGCATGCAGCAGATAGCTCAAATTCTGCGTCAAAAGAGCAGGCCAATGAATTATGATATTTTTCTCGTATCTTTGCCTTCGCTATATGATTTGAGACATGTTTCTTATTGTAGGGGATCTACCATAGTTGATTTTATTCCAGATTTGGATAACAAATGATATAGCGTAGTCAAGAAAAGAGAACGAAATTAGATTTCAGAAAACAAGGAATGTAAAACACCTTTTTTGTGATGTGAAATTGTAAAAAGTTGTCTTCCTCACTAATAGTTTTCGAGATATATGGAAATATTATTTTCTTTAATGGTTAAATGCTGTATTCGGTCTTTGCCTTAAGGCGGCTATAGACACACGCTGATGAACGCGCGTGCATTAACGTGCATGCATCGACACGAATTTGCTTTATGTACAGCCGCTCAAACTTTCATACCTACTTTTAATCGGTGTGCGCGTCGAAAGAAGTTGTGATGTCGTCCGATGAAGAGCTTGCTGTTATGGCAGTGACGTGCGATTACGTTTTAAAAAGTGCCAAAAAGTCGAAAAAGCGTCGTCGCCTGTGGTCTAAGGAATGGCTTTTGAAAAGGCAGTCATTTTCACATATTATCTTATTGGAAGAATTGAAAGGAGAACCCGATGTTTGGCGTAATTATCTACGAATGGATGAGGATACCTATGTAGAATTGTTAGAAATGGTTACTCCACTAATAAAACGTCAGGACACAGTTATGAGATCTGCAATAAGTGCACACGAACGGTTAACCGCAACCCTTCGATATTTGGCGACTGGACGAAATTATCACGATTTAAGATTTTCCACGATAATCTCCGCAAGCGTCGAGCTAAATAATTCCTGAAACATGCTCATCTATATACCAAGTACTACAGCAAAAATACATGAAGGTAAGAAAAACATAAAGTATATTTTCATTAAATAACGAAAAACATAACAGCATATCCATAACAGTATATTATTAATTATTGTAAAGGATTATAAGAGCCGTAATACACAGCAGCTGTATTACTATTATTAATTTTTGTTGGTTGGTTGGTTGGTGTAGACTGATTCCAGATGGGATCACAGTTTGGTGGCGGAGGGAATAATGTATTACTATTATTAATTGGTGTTGGTTGGAGTTGATTGACGTTATTCTTGTATGTTCGTTAACTTTTCCTAACTCCGCTTGAAATAGGATATCGTTTATTAATTTTTCTGAATATATTCGTATTTCTCTTGGCAATCGCCGTAATTTGATTGCTATCGATTTTTCCATAAGGTCGAACTCGTCTGCAGGTTTATTGAGTCGTGTACCGACAATGTCTAATATCTGATCTGCTTTAATAATATTTTGGTGGTGCGCCTTGAATTTTTTTGACCTTTTGGGTAAAGGTGGTGATGATCGACTGGATAGTGCTGATGAGGAAGGTCTTGATGTGCTCGCCATATTATGTTCTGAATGTGCCTCTATTTCAATTTGTTCAGATACGGCACCACCTGCCTGAAAATAATACACACATATTATATTATTTATTTATATATTTTATAATTGATACTTTTTACAGTTTCCTACAACAGAAACAGAATGGAAAAGTATATCTGAAGAAGTATGCAACTTTCCTAATTGTGTAGGAGCCGTAGATGGCAAGCATGTTCAAATCAAACCACCACCGGGCAGCGGAGCATTTTATTATAATTACAAGGGTTATAACAGTTTAGTTCTCATGACTATATGTAATGCAAATTATGAATTTATAATGTGTAATTTTGGTACCAACGGTCGAATATCGGATGGAGGAGTCATAGCATGCACTCATTTCAACACAACATTAAAAAATAAAACATTAAAGCTGCCACCTGCAACATGCCCACGAAGCAGTGACAGAGGGCTACCATTTGTATTCGTTGTAGATGAAGCTTTTGCATTACGTAGTGATTTCTTGAAACCTTACAGTAAAAACGACCTGAATCATGATCGAAAAATTTATAATTACCGCTTATCAAGGGCACGATGCAAAATTGAAAATTCATTTGGCATACTATCAGCAAGATTTCAAGTACTTCAGTCAGCTGTCAGTCCACAGATCGATAGTCAAGGTCGTAATGGCTTGCTGCGTCCTGCATAATTTCTTAAGACGCAAATGCAGTCAGTCTTATACACCATTGGATTCTTTAGATCAAGAAAATCGAACAGACGGAACGGTGCAAAAGGGGCTTAGAGCAAATCCTAAGCAACTAGCAAACCTGCAACGTAGCCATAGCAGAAACTTCAGTAGCGAAGCGTCAAGAGTTTACTCATTTTTTTAACGAAGAAGGGGCTCTGAGTTGGCAAGAACGAATGATACAATAATAATTAATGGTGCAATCATAACAATCAAAATTTTTGCTTTTTTCGTCAGTTTAAGAAGTAGTTTTCTGAATTATTATAACTTAAAAATTAAAGCTGGCTGCTACAATTTGGAAGATTGTACACCACCTACTTTTTACATATCAGTAAAATAAATATTAAACATATACTTTATTTATTTATTGACCTACCTCTCTTCCATTATCCTCTTCATCTCTTCCACGTCGTCATGCACTTCTTCTTCACTTTCAATATTTGAAACAGACTGTCTTGGTATCTCTTGATCTTTAAGAAATAACAATAATTCGTAATACCACAGGGATGGCACATATACATCTTCCAAAGCAGATCCACTTCTTTTCGAATTTTATACTTTTTTATGTTCTCTTCGGAAACTACTACGCAGAGTATTAATTTTTGTTATGACTGATTGTTTTGTAGCATACTTTGTAACTTTTCCTTTAACAATGTATATGCTGCATTTTTTTATTTTTATCTAGATATTCTTTTGCAGTCGTTTGCCAGAGACAAGGATGTGCCCTGTACAATTCAATGAATTCTCTGGTGAAGTCTCGAGTCACTGTTCTGATGTCAGACATTTCTACAATCAATAAAATTAGGTACTCCAAGATAATTCGTACTTTGTTGATCAACGGCACTGACCTCTGATTGTCTGCGGAATTCGCAAGTTCTTTTGTTGCCTCTACAGGTTGAGACTTGCATGCTCTCTGCACGTGCGTTTAAAATTTCTGTCGAGAACTGAAATTTGCACGCCACGCCAATCGTGAACGCACGTTCATGAATGCTGCCGATATCTGCATACACATTGACGTTATTGAGTGTGCGTTTCCGCCTAAATATCAGGACTCCGCGGCTGCTAAGAGTATATTGAACAAACTTTGTTAATTCGATTTTTGAAGTTTAGTTTAGTCGATTAGTAGAACTGGTAAAAGTCTCCTCAGGTAGATTCTTCGACAATCTCTATACTGTAAGGATAACGCTCCTTTCACATTACACGATTTCGCTCGTCCGGAAAAAAATCGCCTGGGCAATTTTTCTTGATCGACTGTTGAAGAGCGTTGCAGCCGTCCAGAGCCCCTAGAACCGTACGGCTACCGTATCGCCCTCTAGCTCAGTGATCTACGTGACCGCTTTCACACTAGGCGGTTTCAGTCGTACCAGGATTAAAAATCGGGCGATTTTTTTCCGTACGAGCGAAATCGTGTAATGTGAAAGGAGCGTACAGCAGGTTAGTTCTGGATGCACGAAGTTCGACACGGTTAGGACGGGGGACCGAAGTCAGGCAGGTATTTGGGTTTTCAGTGGCAACTGAAAAATACCTTATTTTGTTTTCATATTCATTATGTCACAAGACTATTATGATATATGATACACATTTGACAGGGTTATATAATATTTTCATTTTGACACCTTTTACCAGGGGAAAATATGTGGCCAGTGGGCTGATACTTAAACTATAAAAAAGGTGATTTGAACTTGATATAAATACCATCAGCTAAATATGTTCAATAGTTCTTATTCAAAAATAACGTCTCCAGTTCCATCGGTCATGGAACAAAATAATCGTATAGATTAAAAGCTGACAGACCCTCCGGGTAAAACGGTTATGTATGGGAGCTAGACATTTTTTTCATATTGGGACGTATCCGTTGCTTTCGTTGAGCTAAATATTTTTATTGTAAATGAAGGACAAAAAGTAGAAAGCCGAAAAAGAAGAAGAGTAAAAAACAATTGACATGAAAACTGCCAGGGCAATGACGCTGTAACGTCAGGGTAGTGACAAAAACGTACATGACCTCTAAAAAAATTAAGAAACATTAATTATTTTATCATTGTATGTGATGACTTTTGTACTCAAGAATCGTGGATTTTTATACAGGGTGTTTCAGTTTATTGTTGCATAACTTTAAGGTTCGATAGAACTTTTAAAATTAATGCAAAAAGTCTATATAAACATGGGTCGAAAAATGCGTGGCTTCCGAAATACAGGGTGTTTAAATTTACTTTTTAAAATAGTTTTTTTTTAATATTTCGAACAATATTTGATGTATAACAGTGAAAATTGGTATACAAGGGTTTTTTGGTACGACAAAACGAACCATGGGAATAGTTTTACTGTAGCTGCTAGAGGGCGTTCTCTACTGTACCTGTAGTGTATTAAAATGACCGAAAAATTTTTCTTAGTGCAATTTTTTGCTTTTTGAATAAAAAAACTGATTCTTCGCACTTTTCTGCATAAAAAAGCTCTCCTGTGAGTTTTCGTGATAGTTAGCCGTTTTGGAGATATTTCGATTTTTAAGGTTCGATGCATTTTTAATTATTTATGGGAAAATAATATTTTTTTTACATTTTCGATTTGGGCATTAAAAGTAATTAAGATGATCGTTTAGATTGAGTTTTTAAACACAGCAATAATTCCTAACTCCAAATAAACACAAAAAAAAAACAGAATATTAATTTGTTTAATTTTCCAATATTATTTTTAACAAATTAAATTAATTATTTACAACTAAAATGCTATTGGATAGCTAGGACAAACATACAAAATCTAAAGTAGTTGCTCGAAATGTAAACCCAATTGTTCAATACACAATTCACATCTACGAATGATCGAACGTGGTATAGCATTATTCAAATAAGGCCTTGTTTCATCACATGCATTCCTGATTCTGTCTCTGTATCTCTTGTGGTTACGGGAGTCTGGTACACTTTTTCTTTTATAAATCCCCACACAAAGAAATCTAATGGATTTAGGTCAGGGGATCGTGGAGGCCAGGCGACTGGTCCTCCACGGCCGATCCATCTTTCTGGATAATTTACATCCAGCCAGTTTCTATCTATTCTCGAATAATGAGCTGGACAACCATCAAGCTGGAACCAGGCCAATCTTCTTAAATCTAACATAACATCATCCCACATATTTGCAAGTTCAGCCTTTAAAAATTCCAAGAAGGTCGCAGCATACCAATCCACACGTTCACACTAAATTCATGCTGAACATTTCTTTCCCCAACTGCATGCGGATTTTCATGTGACGAAATATGTTGATTATGAAAATTTACCACTCCACGTTTAGTGAAGCATGACTCATCGGTCCATAAAACGTTACTTAAAAACTACCTATTATTATCAGTTCTATCAAGAATCCACTGACAAAATGTGATTCTTCGTTCTCCGTCCCCTGGCTGTAGTCCTTGCACAGGTTGCAAATGGTAAGGACGTCTATGGTCATTTCTAAGAACACGGTGAACATGGCTTGCTGAAATTCCCAAGGCACCAGAAACTATCCTAACACTTGTGGTCGGATCTCTATCAAACTCACGCAGAATCAAACGTTTCAGGTTTCAACAGACAACAAAACTAACTGTCAACTAATTGACGTTTAACCTTATTCTGCTTTCAATTTCAAAAATATTTGCAGGCACAGCCTACTTCTAAAAATTATCGAGATACTGACTTTTTAACGTTATTTTATCATAAATAATTAAAAATGCATCGAACCTTAAAAATCGAAATATCTCAAAAACGGCTAACTATAACGAAAATTCACAAGAGAGCTTTTTTATGTTGAAAAGTGCGAAGAATCAGTTTTTTTATTCAAAAAGCAAAAAATTGCGCTAAGAAATTTTTTTCGGTCATTTTAATACACTACAGGCACAGTAGAGAGCGCCCTCTAGCGGCTACAGTAAAACTATGCCCATGGTTCGTTTTGCCGTACCAAAAAACCCTTGTATACCAATTTTCACTGTTATACATCAAATATTGTTTGAAATATTTGAAAAAAACTATTTTAGAAAGAAAATTTAAACTCCCTGTATTTCGATAGCCACGCATTTTTCGACCTATGTTTATATAGACTTTATGCATTAATTTTAAAAGTTCTATCGAATCTTAAAGTTATGCAACAATAAACTGAAACACCCTGTATAGTTGCAGTAATGTAAAATGTACCATTGAAAGTCACAAAGATATACGTACTAGGGTAAATACTTGCAGCACTTGCAAAAGCATATCTGCTGACACTACGTGAGCTACTGACGCGTTTCTGGTTTCAGTAGGTTAAATCGCGCTAGCATCAAACTGTCATTCTTGATTTTCTATGCATTGATCAATTTTTAAAGTAGTTTTTCATGAAAATAATGTGTATGTAGCAATAAAAAGATTTACATACATTATCCAAATCTTGAGTATTTTTTATAAAATGCGGTTTACCATGGTCGAAAATATGATAAAGAGCTTCATCCACGTGATATTGTGCTTTATAATTTTCAATGCTATCAACAAAATCGAAGAATTACGAAATTCTCAGTTGATCCAGAAAACTCCAAACTGAGATGATCAAACTGTTTATTAAATCATTGGTCATTATACATAGCGTTCCAAAGTCCAAAATAACTGTAAAAGTACCTGCCTTTAGAATCACTTGCATTGACAAATTCCTTTGTTGCAGTTATCCATTTTACAATTCTGGAAACCACAATATACTTGACACTTCCCCTTGCATTTGTGTGTATGCAAATTACTCTTGAGTTCTTTGCAGTTTTTAGTTTCGGACACCATGGCAACTGATAGTAGCACTAAATTGGTGCAGATGAGGAAATTCTTCGAGAACATTCTGAATGTTTGTAGTTTAAAGTTTAAAGAATATACGTATTCGTTAAGATATTCGCACTAGGTTGTAAGTGTTTATGGTTAATGTTTCTACGAGCTTTTCATATCGATTATCGTTTTGTCTTATCCTTATTTGAGTAAAGTTTTACAAGGGGATTTGAGAAGGCTGCATACTAAAATAAATGTTACCTCCCACGCCTGGCGAGAAAGTATTTTTAGCGCAAAAAATTTCGATAATGAGATAGTATGTCTGCTAATCTTTGGTCCCTTTATAACTTGGAAAGTATTGCTCGGACTTTGTTGATATTTTTACACAAGGTTATAGCTATGCCAAGAACGAAAAAGCTTTGTAGTTTTTGAAAACCGGTCCAGGCCGCGGAGAAAATCACCAAAGGGAAGGGAATATTGCATTTTTTTATGTTATTATATTAACTACACTTCCAGCTCCGGTAATTCTCCGCAACTATTAGGCATATTTCACTCATATATTTCCTCGTACATTTTTTCAGTCGTACTTGCCGTGCGCCACGGAGTTGTAAATATTGCATATTTGGTAGTGGATCGATCGGAGGGACTTATGAAAGCAGGTAGCAGACAACGCGCTGATGCGATACGCTCACACGAAGTGAGCGCGATATTACTACATATATAGATCATGCTTGTAATGGCATTAAATTAGGCTGCTTGATGTCGTGAGGTATCAAACATTGTTGACAAACAGTTTTACGCCAGAGCTCCAAGGAAACGAGGCTACCATTATATTTCATGAGAAGCCCAAATAGTGCGTTAATGGCTCTGACCAAAACTAGGTCCGTTTGAGGCCATTGGACTAGATGAAGAATTGTACGAGTACTAGAAGTTGTTTCGAAGCCGTGGGAAGTATAGTATCAGTATACTTGATGCCATTTTGTTCTGCTTCAAAATCCAATAGGACCTTATGACACTTGAGTAACTCTGCACTCAGGATCTAGGGTGTCCCTACTAATAGGATGGTTCTGACGTAACTTTAGCAAATAGTGTGATTTGGATTAGAATTTTTGCAGAAGCTATCAAAGAGCATAGGTATATCGAAATCACGTGACATGAGCAGGTGCCAGACATGCTATAATTTATTATACTAGAAGTAGAGTATTCTTTCTTGAAGTTGACGATAACGCCCTCATGTGGGCTTTTGGGAACTACGGGTGGGGAGGAGGGTAGAGGAAATATGAAAGGCTATGAATTTAAAATCTTAACTCACAAAAAGACTTTTAGATACACTCGATTTATTTAAATTGAACTAATTTGGGGGGGGGGGGTTGTAATTGATTGATTGAATCTTAAAGTGGGCAGTAGTAAGTTTGGGAATATTTGTACTATAGTAATCTCCCTAGCGCATAGTAAATAAAGCAAAACAATCGAGAGTCCCTTTTTACCACAAAGGCGACAAAAGCAGGAGGTATAAAATGAATGCAGACCTCTATCCTCGACTAAAGCCTCGTACAGACCGACAATCGAACGCCGATCAAACGAATACAAGCATACATGTGAAGTTCGCATTTGTCGTTGGAAGGTATTGAAATGCGCTCGTCTACACCTAAATTTAGTTTCGAGTTGGACCGCCTCGGGTTAAATTCGGTGCTACTGTCGAGCGACGAGGGCGCCGTACACATTGATTCGAACACCTCCAAATCTGTAACCACATGTGCCTTGGCTTGCGTTGGAATCTCGGTCTGCTTAAAAAGAGGTACGCGTAGAGCATGATTTTTGAAAAAATAATACATTCAGTTGGAATAATTATTAATTAGGATTGTCATCTGACCAAAATCAGTTTGATTGGCTATTTGTTAAGAATTAGAGACGCTGTCATACTGATGTTTGATACCTTTTTGGCAATTTGTACAATCAATCTAGTAGCAATTTTCAGGGCTAGACACACACATTCTGAGGAAAACTGAAAACAAGAACAGTTTTATTTTTTGGAATTGTTGTTATTTTATTCGGCGTCGAATTTTGCACATTTTATGATTGCAATAACTTTATTTAACTATAAACCTACGAATTAGTTGAATTTTCACACACTTCTTACGTAGTTTATTTCATTTTTTAGACTCAAATGCTCAATTCGAGGTAATTAACAAAAATCTTGAAAATTATTGATATTCGGCCATTACTATATATAGGATGAAATTTGTTGCATTTGTGGTCACCTATTATACTCTGGAAGATATACGGTGAATTACCAGTATACTATCTATCAACCCCTGTACTAGATATCTATAGTTGCAATTTAAAAATAAATAAGTCATGATAATTAAATAAATATTGTCCACGTGAGCGCAAAAAAACGGACAGTTTCCAATTACATTGTTACTGTGTATACCGTTTTTTAGTTTTAGCTGTTAATGAGCTCGATAGTAGTGGATGCGACAATAAAACAAACAGAAACTTCCGACATTCGTTTTTCGAGATTTATTTGTTCCAAATGTTGTCCGACACTGTCGGTAGCGTAGTTCAATTTGGAGCTCCAATTTTGGAGGGACCCTTTCTTCCTTTTAAAGTTGTACTCGTATTTGCCGAATATTGTCATATTAATCGTACTCTGTTACTGATGTAGAGACAGTCCTAAAGAAATAAGGATAGTTAAACAATGGCATCACCGTTGAAGTTTTGTCATTTGGTTGCGCCGCCTACCTGCCTGGAGATCTAGAGGAACTATCGAAATAATGCCGAGAATGCACCTGGAATTAGGAATGTGAAAATGATATTTCCGATATTGAAGGTATATTTCATGAACATATATTCATAAAATATCCCCAATAAAGGTAATATCTCTTTCAGCAGTTTTGCAGAGAAAAAGGTTCAGAATAATAAGATCCAACCCTAATTATGAAGCACCAAATTTAATTAGTTTCAAAAAACATTTATATGCTGTTGACAATGGAATAAAAATTGTATTTCATGAAAATATTGATAGATTTATTACAAATGCACGTTGAGTGTTGCAAAACACAAGTCTTCATTGTACCGCTTCTTAATTCTGAAAAAATACAGAAAACACTAATGTAATTCATAATATTTTGTAAATAAGCTATGAAATAGTCACTTTTAATTAGTTTGCTCTGTTCTATGCCTTTAATTTGTTGGCCTGTCATACTTTATATAACGGTGCCAACTACAAGGATTATAAAGAGGCAGACATGCAATTATAAATAATCTACAGAATACATCATGCCGATATGCTAAGTTCACAGCCTACCTGTAGCACTTTATGAACTTCTGCATATCCCACAATAGTCACAATACATCTCACGTATACCATCACAGCTACTGATATTTTATGCTCATTATTTACGAAATATCTCCATAGCATCAGCATTGATAATCTAGATATTAACCAAAACAAACGCCATATTTAATATTCTTACATTCAGATAAAGATAGAGAATCCCGGCAGGGTTGCCAGGTTTTCAGTCACGTTGGTCGCCGGGCTTTGATGAGAAAATCACGAGAAATCGCCAATCCTTAAAGTGAAAATTAACTAGGAGTCCAACCATAAAACTCCAGGTTAGAGATTGGAATGGAGTTGTCGCCCGGGGAGGTGGAGTAGTGACTGGCCTAAGCTCCTAAGTAGCCTGTCTGTTGACGATAACTGAAGAGCGAAGTTGAGAGGGGTTAGGCATAATAATACTCCAAGAATCCATTGAAAAGCGAGTGATGAGGATGGCTGGTTGTTAGACACGTGTAATATTAACGAAACTTTAAGTTCGTTCACAGAGGCGGATCCAGAGGGACATTTTGAGGTGGCTGGACTTCTGACGAATGTTCTTCTTGTGATATTGTGACAATAGGAAAATGGGCAAGAGGGTTACCGACTATTGAAAATTGAAGAGCCGGGAGACAATAATTTTCTGCGTATTTACCGTTTCCCAGTGAACTTTTTTTTGGGGGGGGTCTCTCTCTCTCTCTTGTCCCGGTTGTCGTACAAAAATTGTAATCGTACATCAAGTAACAATGTGTCAACAGTGTCAGAGGATGGGATGTCGTTGCTATGCTCTGAACACGACACCTTGACATGACATTTGACCATAAGCGTCATTGTGCATAGGGAATAGAACTTCCGCTGGTCCTCGTTTCTCCACCGAAAACTAAATTTGTCTGAAGGCTTAAGTTCAATGTGTTCGAGAGCGAAGTGTCTATAGACACATATGCTAGAAAGAGATAGAAGCCAGCTGGATAGCGAAGCTCATCACCGCGTTGTCTATCAACGCTGACGCGACAATCTGCCTCGTTGCCATTATGTTCCCCCAGTTCCTTGAATTAAGGTGCATGCTGAAAACATGCGTTAGTTTATTCTCTACGCCCAAATAATGTTTTTATTTTGAGCGTACACATTTTTTAATTGTGAATTGTGTCGAATCTGTTTAGGATCGATTCCGGATCGGCCCTCATGCGCTGCATTTTAGGTCGGAATGAAAGGCAGGATCGTCATAAATCCTGCATCATTGCATCATTGGTTCGGTTGACAACATCGGATCTTGTACATTCCAAGGCAAGGTTTCCACCTCCATAATCATAGACGAGCGATTTTGGTCAGTACCCATGTAGCGCACATTGGGGAGTGTCGCCCTGCTTCAAATAGGCCTCCTTCTTGGGTTTGACATTAACCTAACCTATTGTAGGCCTATGCGAACATTTTTTGGTGTAATATATCGGTAACGTGGCAGATTGCACGACCTTCTGCGTTAGCGTTGCTAGGCAATGTGGTGATGACCTTCGCTTTTCAACTGGCTTCTATCTCTTTCTAACATGTGTTAATACACACTTCTCGCGCTTCTCTTTCATACACATTGAACTCAAGCCGTCAGACAAATTTGGTTTTCTTTGTATACACATATCAGAAAAATAATTGATTGCAAATTAATTAGCGTCAGAAATGTTAAAAATCGGCAGATATCGATAGGTTGGTGGATATTGGGCGCCATTAAAGTAGCCAATCGACAAGCTATCCATTTGACGCCGTCAAATCGCCCCACCTGGCAACCCTGAATCCCGGCAGGCAGCACGTGACGTGATGCTTTTAATACAGTTACCTCGATTTTGCCTGGAGAGTACGACCTTGGTGTTGCCAGTTCACCCATAAGACGTTTCATACTCCTGGTGGTAGTCACGATCAAGGCGGTAGGGCTCTGTAGCGCAGCGGAGAAAGGAACCTACCTCACAATGTCGCCGAATGTTTCCCGAAGTCAGCGCTCGGCAACTAGATGTGTTGAAAAAGTAACTATTCGTTACTCGAGTACTCGTTACTCATAGATACCCGAAGTAACGAGTATCAATCCGAGCACGAAATTATTACTTTGACTACTCTGTTTTCCGTATCCGTACCCGATTCGCGTACAATCGTTGATCGTTGAGTGGCAAACGACGGTTTCTGCCATCTTAGGCATCACTGTAGCACTGCCGCTCATGCATCAGGGTTACCAGACATCCCACATTTGGGTGGAAACCTGGAAACTCCAGATTCAAAAACAATTGTCAAATTATATGTCCGTCAATCAAAAAAATGTGTTCTTATCTATACCGTGACTCAAATTCGCTCTTATTGTTGTGATCTTGGCAACTTGTAAAAGGATAAGGAGTCGATTGGATTGGAGCAAAGTTCGGCAGTATTATGAGTCAGAAAAGCGACAACAGGCTAACAGCACCGTTTATGAAAACCACAATAATAACAATTATGCCAAGTTGATTCGTGTTTACTAGTCCTACATTTTGCTGAACATTTATAATTCAGTATGATCACCAAATAGTATGTGTAGACTAGGCACCACGTAGAATTTTTTATACTGTGCTTTTCAAGAATATCTAGTAAATACAAAGTATTTTCAGTTTTTATGCATAAAGTTTGAAGATACGATGTTTACATTAAACACGGTAGATTTTAATAAACTATGCTTTTGGAAATTTTAAGGTTGTCTATTTTCTTACAAGACAATATACAGGGTGTCCGCAAAGTTGGGGTTTTCCTTTACACGACGTGTAGATCTTGAAAACAAGCAATTTTTCTTAGTACCATATACACCAATGTCTTAAGGGAACCGAGATAAAGGGCTATGCAGCATTAAAAATATCTGAATACCGCGACCCGCCGGGATATCACCGGTTGGTACAAGGTCTCAACCCGACGACAGAACTCGGTCGGGGTCAGTGTGTCAGGTCAGTATGCAACCTTCAACCGAGGGTTACGGTCACGCGTGTAGAGATAACGTACCCGTATAATCGATTGCGTTTCAAAAAAAAAATAATAATGGCACACTCATACACCAATAATGAACTCGTTGATATGTTGTTAATTTATGGCGAATGTCTTCAAAATGCTACAGAGGCGTCGCGAGTGTATGCAGCTCGTTTCCCTAGACGACATCATCCAAGGCCCCGCAGATTTGTGTACCTGGTCCAGAGAGTCAGGGATACGGGCCATTTGGAGGAATTTCGAGATGGGCACAGTGGGAGGCCTAGACAACCACGCATGGTGCAAGTTGAGGAAGAACTACTGAATCGCGTAGACGAGAATCCCTCAACAAGCACTAGAGACGTGGCTAGAGAAGTGCAAGTATCAAAAACTAAAGTGTGGCAAACGCAAGAGTGCGGTTTTGTGAGTGGTTGTTGCATCAACATGACAATAATCCGGACTTTTTGAAGTGCATATTGGTGACAGACGAATCTACGTTCACGCGTAATGGGGTGAATAACTTTCGCAACACTCATGGTCAGTAGAAAATCCGCACGCTGTCCGTCGGGCACATTTTCAACAAACATTTTCGGTGAATGTTTGGGCTGGCATGGTGAACGGTATGCTCATTGGACCATTTATTCTCCCAAATTGATTGGACGGGATGCAATATCTAGACTTTTTACGCAACATTTTGGCTTCCTTGTTTGCCTGCGTCTGCTCGGTAGCGCATCAGCTGATTTCATTTCCTGTTGGAGCGGTATGATTTCGGGCAGAGACGTACTTAGCCCTTCTCGTCAACTGGAGAGTGAGTACTTTTTCGTTTCACTAGCATTACCTTTGTTATTTCAAGGGTAGTTGTTTCTGAAAAGGAAAACCCCAACTTTGCGGACACCCTGTATTATACATAAACAACCATCCTACTTACACGAAAAAAATCATTGCCGTTACTTAGATCACAATCGCAATACCCACAACAAAACAAAACTGACACCGCCTTTTCATTCTACCACCTTATTCGAAAGATCTTTTTCGTATAATATCAGTAAACTGTATAATAATATCCCGAGAGAGTATACTTCTCTTTCTATTGATTTGTTTAAAAAACCTATACGCTATTACATTGCAGGTAATTGCATGGTATGACTTTGGAGTCATTATGTATTTTTATAGTACCGTTTATCAAATTAGCCGCTAGGGTCCATTCGCTGATAATGCTTATACATACATATATTGTTGACCTCATTAATATATATATGCTTATTTTATTATGATGTAAACCTAAAACCAGGGGTTAAGTGGAAGAGCGGATATGCCGAACTTTGCCCCTCCCACTATATGTTCATATAAAACTGGTTTTGCAACTTGTTTTGTATTTTCTTTTGTGGGAATAAATACATTATTATTATTATTATTATTAACTCTACTACTTACTTACTATACAATGGGAATCCTCCGCTAAGTATCTCATTCTGGTCAAAGGGATGACTTGGCGGAATCATATAGAAGCGCTAAACTAAATTCCAAATTACGTTTCGACAGCTTTACCCATTATTATGTAAACGTTCAAAATTAAGTTTGATTAACAAGACTCGACTCTATAAGGCGGCTTGGTGTTTTATTTCCAAAACACACATGCGAAATCTGCAGGTACTGCAAAGCAGGACGTTGCGCACTATTACTGATGCCCCATGGTATGTATCTAACGAAACTCTTCATAGAGACCTCGATGTCCCTTACCTAAAGGACTACATTAAGCAACAGGCCCAGCGACGCTATAGCCTAGCGGAATCGTACAGCAACCCTCTGTTACGCGAGTCAGTGGACCACACAGTCGAGCAAGTTCGCAAGCACAAAAGGCCGCGGCTCGCACTGTAATCAAAATTAATTCGTGAACTTAGAACAACCAAAAGTGGAGCATTTTTAAAAAATCAAATATTTTTAGACCATATAAAAATCTGTGTGATTTTAACAATGCCTAAACGCTGCCTATCCTAAAAGATTATCTAAAGATTCTCTTCTTCCTCTTTGCTCTCCTTTCCTTCCCTTTTTCCTTAAAATTGTCTGGTTTCTGGGTTACCAGACCTGACAGACTTACAAATTGACACTGTGACTCAAGAGCTAAGGTCCTACGGACCGCTCTGACAACCAACGATGATTTGATGACCACATAAAATTCATTTTTGCTTCCAGTTTTTTTTCGCTAAAAAATCTGGAAATATCTAAATTATTTAAAAAAAAAACGTGGAAAATGAGAACGTTTTCGGTATTTCGGTGAATGTCTCATTTCGGTAGAAATACCGAAAAATCAAATCGAGTCAATTGAGACTGTTTCTCAAACTTGTCAGACCAACATGTTTCTTGAGGTGACGCATGAACGTAAAACGGTACACGCATTCGCTATCACTTTGCGACTTGGGGATTGGGAAATCGCAGATCGGTGGATCTACAATACGAACAAATACGAACAAAATCGCAGACAAGACGAGTAATCGTCTAGTTCTTTCCTCGCGAAACACTGGTGTGAGACAAAGATAGTTAAATTATCAAATTATCCGGCCACTCTACAACTAATTATTCGCTGTTAATCTGTGGTTCTATGACTATGGATTCATGCGTACCGATCTAGATTTGACATAAAGGTGTAGAGATGGATCATTCGTAGATGTTTTGTGTAGATGGGTGCGACTTGGAAAAAGAAATATCTGCAGAAAGATAAAATTGTTATTTAGCAGTGGACAGGTTTTGGTAGTTAAAATGGTATAAAATACCCGAAAAATACCCAACGATTTTTTTTTTACCCCAAAAAATCCCCCAGAACATTTTGTCCCCCAAAAATTCCACAAGGGACGTAAAAATTCCTCAAATTTGGGGGAAACTCCCCTAATATGGCAACCCTGTCTACCACCAGCGCACAGTGAGCAGTGAGGGGACGCAGTTATACCCTATTTCACGAGTATCCATCACGGTAGAATGACAGCTGGTTATATTTCAAAATTCTCCATCGACATCGGCGAAAACAAAAATCGTCGCTCCTGTCACATTTGCGCGAATATCACAAGATATTTTTTCTTTTGATATATGAAAAGATGGATTCTTCAAGCTCTGAAGCAGAAGCAAGACTGCCTTAGAAGATGAGGAAGTTGAAAGGTAAGGCAAAATTGAAAACCTACCTGTAATATGTATATCTCTTGTCCAATTTCGTCCCAAACCTTATCTTTCTTTCTTATATTTTTGTAATCTTCACGGCTTAAGTCGTATAAAATCGGATATTTCTTCAGAGACTGTATTAACCTTTCAGTTAAAGCCATCTTTGATTCGCAACGAAAACTACAGAAAACGCGGCTGGTCGCGAAAGAAATAAAATCGCTGAAGTTTCGTTGTCGCCAAGCGAAATTTTCGCGCCAGAATGTTCCTCCTCGTTATAATCCGAAGACCTTGAGTTAACGAATATTTCGCGAAGCGAAAATTTCGCCAACGCACCGAATTATTCGCGTCAATCTGTATATTTCTTTAACTGAAAGGTTGATAGAGTTTATGAAGAAATATCCGATTTTATACGATTTAAGCCATGAAGATTACAAAAATATAAGAAAGAAAGATAAGTTTTGGGACGAAATTGGACAAGAGATACATATTACAGGTAGGTTTTCAATTTTGCCTTACCTTTCAACTTCCTCATCTTCTAAGGCAGCCAATAATAGTATTGCTTCTTCTTCAGAGCTTGAAGATACCATCTTTTCATATATCAAAAGAAACAATATCTGGTGAAATGTTCGCGCAAGTCTTTAAAGGAGACACGAATTTTGACTGCATATGTTGCGAAATATTCGCGCAAATGTGATAGGAGCGACGATTTTTGTTATCGCCGATGTTGCGAAATATTCGCTTATTTATCGCGCCGAATTAATTCGCGTCATTGTGTGCATTCCTTTAGGCGGCCAATGTATCGTTCCGAAATTAGAAGTTGTCGCAGTGGAACCAAGGTTGGGCTGCAAGTACCCCGCCTTGCTGAGACCAAATATGGAAGATCATGGTTTTGAATTTCAGGGAGCAATTAGTATGTTGTCATGGTGCGATAACAGTCGCAAATACCACGCATAACCATGGGACCCTACATGAAGTTTCATCAGGGAAGTCGATCAACGACAAAAGACATTTTGTGAAGAACTCTCAATAAAGTAGGAGTTATCGAACCTACCCATAAACTCCTAAGAGGTAAATACACCATTCAAACAGTAGGCCCAGCAGCTATTAAGGTTTAAGTCGGGCAACCGTTATTAAAGCTTGAGATAGCAAAAACACAAAGTAGGCCTACAACTGCGAAAGCATTTAGATTTGTTATGAATATGATTCACCATGAAACAAAAGTTATGAAGGCAGCCCTATTGGAAAACCGACACAAGGCAGTCAATATCAACATGAGACGCTTACCGATGTTTTACTTCTTATGCCACTGGTCGAGAAAGTATTGCAATCGAAAAACGAGAGTTTGTGTTTTCTGAATGTTATATGATTTGTAAATCACGAAAAACAGGACAACGATCATGTTACTAATTTCCGTCGCTCTGTCTGTCTAACTGCCGCTAATATTTGGCCCGTCTACAAAACTTAAGAACTACTACAAGACCTATCTTGGAGAAATTTTCACACAAGTGTGCTACTATGCCAAGGACGAAAAAGCTTTGTAGTTTTTGAAAATCAGTCCAGTGGCGGTGGAGAAAAAAGCAAATAACGGAAAAAATAGCTCCAACTTTTTTTGACGTTTCAGATGGTCCTCACCATTTGCAGAAAATGTTATAAAGGAGCGGAAATTTGCTGTTGTGAGGGATGATAGTATATTCCTATGCTATCAACCCAGGTAATTCTATGCACCTATTAGCCATATTTTACAAATCATAGTATTTCCCTTACATTTGCTTTTGAAACTTGATAGAGAAATGTTTTCGATCCGCGTATTGCTAGACAAGCTCACCATCCGGTGATCCAGTCCAGCTGGCTAATCTATCCGTACTGCAGTGCAAAAAACAGATACACGGATCATGCACGAAATGAACAATAACTTGCTGGAGCGGTGGTGGAGTGGGCGCCGGAGCGACTGACGTTTTGGGAACGAGCAACGTTGTCAGACGGACGGTAACTACCGGTAGGGCAGGGGAAGAACGTCTATAGACTAGTTGGGCCTGTTTGAGTGAGTTGATCAGTTGTACATGTTTGTAACTAATTTTTTTCTCAGAGGGTCTAGCTTGTGCTGAACTTAATCTTTTAACATAGTTTTATGCACACAGCAATCTATGTTGGTACCCAGGCGTATAGACAGATATGCTGAGTTTAACGATTGTTACGAAAAGCAGTCCAGGATCCAGGATATCACGTTGGCCAACGGCCGTTGTGTCAATATCCAAAGGCTCCGACATTACCTCTTAATCAGAGGTAACCGAGCAAGATGACAACCTTTAGAATAACAATCCCTATGCACATCCTGCCATGAGATACATTCAGATGCCAGCGATTACCAAGAGAAGATGGTTAAGTGATCATTTAGACCTAGGATGCCACTTCGACCAACGGCCATCGGGTCAACATCACAAGCGCTCCGACGTTTCCCCTGATAGAGGAAACCGAACAGTAATTAACATAACTATCTCCTCCCCAGAGACTGGAGGTGTCACCCCTGTATGAGCCACCTAATTTCCCTATCCTTATCCGTAATTATTGAGTCCGTAAGCCATTGACAGAAATATGGATATATGATCCAAGCATCTTTATAAATATGGATATATGCTCAAAGCATCTTTATAAATGTGGATATATGATCAGAGCCTCTTTATAAATAAGGATATATGATCAAAGCACCTTTATAAATATGAATATATTATGCTCAAAGCATCTTTATAACTAAGACTGTACGATCAAAGCTTCTTTATAAATATGGCTTACGACAGGGCTTCCCAACCTTTTTTTTGTTGAGGCTCCTCGGACTATAAATTATATTTGCATGCCCCCCTTTACTTTTTCAATAAATACAAAAACGCACATTATATAGGTACCAAGACTTTTATTTTAATTCTGATGAAGAAACTTTAAAAGTTTAAATAAACGAATAAATGTTTTTTATCGCAAAACTTGAATAAAGTAAGAGTAGGTACTAATGAGACACTTGAGATTGCCTGTTCTGTGTACCAGTTGGTTGATTCTAGGTTCTGTTTTTGCCAGGTCGCTGTCGACATCAAGACGATTTCGCTTTTTAGTTTTATTAAAACTAGAGCAGAAAAGCCTGTCTCACATAAGTAAGTTGAAGAAAAAGGAACTAGTATTTATAAAGCAAGAGAGGCAAGTGTCGAATTAACAGGCAATCTTTTGATCCAAAAGATCTCCAATGTTAAAAGATGGAAGTCATCTTTCATGGACCAATCAGCCTTTGTTTCTAGAAATTTTTCCTGAACATCTTCTGGTAATTGTGACACATCGATAACAAATGGATTTCTTGTCATGTGCCATATTGATGCCTCTGAATTGATGTCTCGATAGTATCGGCAAAATTCGTCTTTCAGCGCTTGCAAATAATTTTTTATGGCAACTTTTAAATTTGCGTCCAGTATCTTATTTTTAATTGCTTCGAACAGCCGAGAAAAAGATATAACATTTTCAGAAGACACTTTTCGATTCCAAAGTTTTTGATATGAACCCCTGAATATAATCATAATTGCTTATTTTAGTGTTGCTTCTGCCCTGAAGTTTCAAGTTTAGCTCATTCAAGGAGTCAAATACGTCAGTTAAATAAGCCAACCTCCATTGAAATGCGTCATCTTTGAAAATTGTCAAGAAATCGTGTTTTTCTTTGAACTCAAGCAAAAAAACTACCTCTTCTTTCAATTCATAAAGGCGAGCCAACATGTTGCCTTTGGACAGTCAGCGTTCTTCTGTATGGAACAGAAGAACTTTGTGATCCGGATCGAGATCTTCACAAAGTAAAGTAAATAACCGACTGTTCAAAGCGCTGCTCTTGATGTAGTTTACAATCCTTATAACCGAGTCCAAAGTCTGGCGTAATTTCTGTGGCAATATTTTGGAAGCCAAAGCTTGCCGATGAGTAACACGTCTACTAACTATTGCAGGTTTTTTTCCTTGAGCTTTTTAGCTAAGCCCAATCGTACACCTATCATTGCAGGTACGCCATCTGTGCAAAGTCCAATGAGTTTCTTCCAATCCAAATCATTTTTTTCAATAAAATTTGATATTGAATTAAATATACCTGTATCTTCAGATGTAGTACCTGCTGTCAAAAGATTGGGAGTACAAAATATCTTCGTGAATGATATCTCCGCCGATGTAACGAACATAAACTATTAACAATGTCGGTGGATTCATCACAACTAATGGCAAAAAATGGCGATAATTTTACTTTGTTAATTATTTGTGACTTTATGTCTCTGCAATGTCATCGATTCTACGCTTGACTTCAAAAGAGAAATAGACTTAATTTTTTTGCCTTGCATTTTGTCCTAAAATTATTTGCGTGACTTTTAGGATACATGGCTTTATTAATTCTTCACCGATAGTATGAGGTTTCTTTTGCTTTGCTATCATAAAAGCTATTTCAAATGAAGCTTTGAGATGCTGCGATACACCTGTGTGATAACTTCCCAATTTATCCAGTCTCATCCGCTTGTGTGATTCTGCTTTAGAAGAAAAACACTCTTTCATCTTCAAAACCAGAGTAGGATGCTGTTGCTTCAAATGCCTTTCAAGGCGATTGGGCCTCATGCTATCATTACTTAAAACTTTCATACATATCACACACAGGCAATTGTGACTCGTCTTTTTCTATGAAGGTAAATCCAAACATAACGTAATCTTCGGAAAACATTCTTTTTTTCGCTGCCATTTTGCACCAAGAACAATAAAACAAATAAGTAATAAATAAATAAGCAAGATGCCTACATGTTATATCTAATTATATGCCCATTATTTTATCTTAATAACGTAATGTATTCAACAGTATATTGGCCGCCGGGATATTTATATTTTTGTAGATAGGTTGACGTTATTATGTTAATTTTAAATACATTTGGAATCAATATTAGGTACTTAAAGTTCGTTGTTTCAAAATTATTTCGCCACGTTGGTTTGATTGTGATGTGGTAAAAAGTCCCAATGGCCGATCTATGAACGTGTCTTCATACAATCAACAATTTAGTAAATTAAATAAAAATGGTAACTGAAGTTTGTAAATGCACAAACTCACCTTTTAACAGTGAGACACAATAACTTGACAGACTCAAACAGATTTCTCAACAACACATGTACATCGAAACGTCAAACTTTTCGCAAGTTTGTGGGAATGAATGTCACAGATGCTCATCCGCGTCTGGTAGGTACACAATTGTTTTCTAAGTGATGAATGTTAAGCGGAGCGCGGCGGGGGTGCGAAACTTGTATAAACTGCGATTGACGACGCTGGGTTTTGAAACAGCGGTTGACAGAATAAGTGATTATGATATTTAATTTCCAATTTTATGCGTGTAAGTTAAACATTACATTGTAATGTTATTTGTTAATTTGTTTGTTTATTTTTTGTTTTTTCTTTCTAAAATGCGGACGCTTTCCGCCCCCCTTGACATTTCTCTATGCCCCCTTGGGAGGCGCGCCCCCTTGGTTGGGAACTCCTGGCTTACGACATTCATGATCATGAATATAAAAGTGTTATAGTTATCAATCCATGCAGTACAGCAGAATAAAGGAAATACTCAGTGATTGCTCACCTTTCAGGTGACCAAAACACTACACCCAGTAGCACATCAGCACTGTAATTAGGTCCACAATGCGCACTACTTGGACTTCCACGCATCATCTGGAATGCGTTTTTAAGAAAGTTTATCCTGGGAACAAGTACCCAGAGAAGAAATGGAACGTATACAAATGAACAGGCTTAAGGGCCGCCGTGCTGAGTGACACTAAACAGACTTGTGAACGAGGGTTGGACTCGCATGCAAAAATGTGTTTGCGATATTTCGTATATCAGTGCTTTGTTGCGTTCTTGTCAGATCCATTTACAAAATCTTAAACTTTTGCCAGGAAAATCGTCAAAAACAGGAATAACCGAATTTTCATCAATTTTCACATTTGAAAAATACAAGCATGCTGTGGCAACAATGTCAACCTTTTATTTTTGTTTACCTTTGTTAAAATCTTGTTTTTTTAGTTTTTGTGAAGAAAGCAGTTTAACCTACTGAAACCAGAAACGCGTCAGTTGCTCACGTAGTCGGCAGTTTTTGAGAGATGAGTAGTACAGATATATTTAGTTATTGTCATTTCATTTACTAGTGGTAAGAATAAAGATGCCTCGAGTTCGAAGACGTCCACATTATCACCATGTTAGCGACTTTGACAGGGTTTTTGCCTATCGAGATGTTGGTTTGTCCCAGTGCCGGATACTCCGCTGTTCGATTGTCGTCCGCCGGCGCGCATGACGTCACGCTGGGAGTGATTCGTGACATTTGGGTTAATATGGATAACGTGCATATTTTCACCTTCATCTCAAACGGCTTGACAGATATTCACATATATCGTCGTCTATACCGCGAACATGCGTAACCGATTTTATACAAATTTTTAGTAGAAGCAAAATGAATATCGACAGTTATTCGATTCCATAATATATCTTTTCTACTTTAGACCATATGATCATGATTTCTGATATCTCTGTGAGCTAACTACTTAGAGTTACGCTACTTTGCGGGATTGAAGATATGCTATACCTTGTTGATTTGAATCCGTTAACTTGAATTCGATTGTTTGTCAGATATACGCCTGTTTGCAGTATGGACAACGATATGAGGTGCCGTTGGATTCGTCTTAGCGGTGCGAGTAACACAAGTTACATTAAAATTTTCTACAAAACAAAATAGTGGATTTTAATAAAATATTTCAACCTTGTAATTCCTATTTCATAGGCTAGAGCTCAAACGACTTGACAGATTTTCACATATGAGGTGACGTTGGATTCGTCTTAGTGGTGCGAGTGACACAAGCTACATTAAAATTTTATACAAAACAAAATGGCGGATTTCACTAAAATATTTCAGGCTTTCAACCTATTTCACATGATATAGCTTAAACAGCTTTCTAGCACCACAATAGAGCGTATCGCCACTTTACTGTAGAAACAAGATAACTCCATTTTACTACATTACCTATACTTTAGTATGTTCTGTGAAGCAGGATTAACATGCCCATTAAGCTAATCCTGCACTACATTTATCTTTATTTCACAGAACGTCCTAAGTACATGTAAGTGTTCGCAACTCGAAAAGTATAAAAATGGAGTAATCTTCTTTTTGCAGTCTGCTGGCGGTATAACAATAAATGGAAATGACTTAGTCTAAGCAACAATCTTTCTCCATCTCCTTTTACGATTTTCCTGCTCTTTCAAACGTCTATTCAGTTCTTTGATCCGGAAGAACATCCTTGATCATCAAATAGATTTTTAGCTTTTTCAGGGCAGTCAGTGTTGCTGCTCGACAACAGTTCGCCTATAAAATTTTGCTCTTCTGTCACAATTCCGTCCCCATTGAATGTAGTAAGGCACCTTGTTCAATTTTATTCATAAAAGCTGTGGCAAAGCCGGCCAAATTTTTCAGCCCGTCATACTCGAGCTCATATACTTCCACTAAAACTTCCTTGTTGTAGTCAGCTGATACTTCAGGTTATACGCACTTCCACATAAGTGGTTCGATCAAATCCTAGCGCTTCTTACATTGACTTTATCTTTTTTGTAGTACGATGTAGGCACTTTCTGCTAAGGTTTGTGACTTGAAGAAAACTGTGGAACTTCATGTCTTTGCAAGGATTCCGTTTAGACTGGTTGTCGGAATTGCATCCTACAACAGCAGACCGCATTTTTATCAAGTTTTCAACCACACAGGGTATATAAAGTATGTATAACTAAAATAAAGTCACAAAACCACCAAAAATCGCAGCGTTATGTTGATGATGTCCTACAAACGACTTTACTGCCGTCCACATGTGCTTTTTTAAGGCATCGCACGTCCCCATATTGCTCGTCGTACCATGGACTTTCTTCAAGAAGTAGGCGCTAATGTTTTGCCGAGACTTTCCACGTTGCATCATGCGGCACAGACTCTGCCACAGCTAACGCTGGAATGAGGTGCCACAACCAGACATCGATCATCTCATTTTGTCGATGCCTAGATGTATGCAGGAGTGTATTCAGCTGCGGGGTCGCCCAGCACATTAATTTTTTTCTTATTACTTGTCAATAAAATTTCGTGAGAATATTATCGTTTCATTTCTGATGTAACACTACCTCGTTGCTAAAAAATCAAGTTGAAGAAATTATTTCTTCTGGGTGTAACACTTCTAATGTCACTAAGTATATTTTAGTCCATTCTTTCAGGTTCCAATCCAATTTTCATTTGTCTCTCGGAAAATTTAGAAAATAGGGAAAACTGATTTACACCGATTTTGTTCAATTTTGAACGTTTTTGGTCAAGAAGAGAATACTTGGCTGACACGGCGGTTTTTCCTATTTCAATCAAATCACAATTTTTACAATGAAATCTGAAAGAATGCACTAACATACATAATATGTGTATGGAACTTTAGAGTTAGTGAACTTATAAAAATGTCTAAGACATGGAGATGAGCCATTTCCCAGTTTTCTGGGAAAGTGCCGGATTCGATAGATATGTGGAAGGTACGCGATCTCTTTAGTACAACGGTAGGAACCAACTCCAGACCAAAAGCTTTTTTGATGTCAAACGACAAGAGAATCCGTCTTACGGTCTTATGCCTGAAGGTTACTTTTCGCATAGTGTAGAGCTTTCCGACTGATCGATGACTCTTCTCCAACGAAGAGTCTCGGGACCCTTTCGTACAGATGGGCCATCGGCGATCTGGCTCCCTGCCACCGCTATGTCAACGGGCTTTGCTCCTCAGAGCTCTCTTTTATGATGAAGCCGCGCGATCAGCCTGCCTGACAGACCGGGCTGCCTTCGGCCTCCCATCCTAACATCATCGAAATAACAATACAACTTGAACTGGCCAATACGGTCTGTCCTTTGTCCCTAGGTTATCGAGATTGTGGAACAAAATACCTTAGGAGGCTTTTCCCGGTTCTACTAACCTTAAACATTTCAAAAATCGGATTAACAAATTCTCTTTAAACTCCTCATAGTAGCCGCGGTGCCCGGTATTTAGGCTTCTGCCTACACGGCTGCTTGGATATATAAAGAAAGGCCAGCAGCAATGGCGTGTTATGCACAGAACTATGTATTCTCGATTAAGAAAACTATGTTTTTTGTTGATGATACCATTTATTTTACCATTGATAATATATACCATGCCAAAGTCCAAAAGAATATAATTTATTTCAAAAGTACCTGCCTTTCGAATCACCTGCAATGGCAGTCACCCCCCAAGCAACGGTCCATCTGGCAACCTCTACCACTACACCAATTGGGACATTTACCTCTGCACGCCCTTGGAGTAAAATGAAACTTGTCTCCTTTGCAGTTTGCGGCTTCGGACACCATAACCATTGATAGTACTACCAGAACGGTGAGGATTAGAACTTTCTTCGAGAACATTTTTGGAGTTTGTAGTCGAGTTCTGAGTATAGGTATTCGTATTGGGCTGGAACTGTTGATGGTTCAAGTTTTTGCGAGCCTTATATATACCGATTATCTATATTTTATCCGTATTGAAGGCTACTGATTTATTGAGAATAGTTTTACAAGGGGAGTTTGAAAACACCGCTCATTGAAATAGTATTTCTTCGTATCTAGGGCTATAGGAAATTATCGACGTCATAAAATAGAACTTTATCCAGTTTTGTATGTTTCCGCCTTAATGCGGAACTCGGTCGTTTAAT